TGGTAGCCGCTACCTCTTGATAGGACGATGTTGGTTTGACTGAAGATGATGGGAGGACTGGCGGTAACGTAGCGGTTGATACAAGGATGGAAGTATGTATCGAAATTGGAGTGGTAGCCACGGCATGAGAGGACGGTTTCAGTTGAACTGACGACGACGGGAGGACTGGCGACGAACTCGTAGTAGATGGGGATGTTGACACTAGTACAATTGTTAAACGATCAAAAGGTCAGCTATGTATCGAGAAAAGTCTTAAAAACTGCTTGTGATTAAATAAAATCTTAAATTAAGAAATATTGAACACAGTGCCATGCAAAGCAACACATTATAATTTGGCAAGCAACGACGCTAGCGACTGGAGACATTTGGACAGAATTAGCGACGTTTTCAGGAACAAAAGGAAAGATATCCACACATCGCAGAATTCATGCCAGCAAGGAAAAGTCGTATTATAAAATAACAAAGGAGGATAAATAAGAAAGGGAAACTTCTTAATAACTTCTTATTATTTTGATCACTAAAAACGAAACGGAAAGAATTCGCGCGCGTAATTTGATGACGCACGGGATTTAAACTGCATCCGGTTACTAAAAATAGCCCTACTTGGAATTTACATGGCGCGCGCGTTATTAAGAAGTTTTCCTCTCTTATTTATGCTCTCTTGAAAATGACTGTTATAAATCTCGCGTTCTGATTGGTTGGGAGCGCTTGCTTTATGAGAGCACACAGCACAAGCGCGCATTCTCAGTTTCGTCATTCATATAATTTGTATTTTAAAAAAGAAATAAAAAACTTGCTTGATATGCTGCATGGAGTTATGAAGCACTTGGGGATTAGTAGAACACTTGAAATTGTCAAGAAGCACTCGTGCTTCTCCTAACACTTATCTTCTGTTCCTTCAAGCCCCGCGTGATTTATAACTGCACAGTTTTTTTCCGCTGCTCAATTCGTGGCTGAGTATAAAGTTGTATGCGACCGGATGTAACGTGCGACCTAGCCGACAATAAGCATCACAGGCTTGCGTAAAACAAGCTTGAACAACATGGCWATAAATTGTACAAACCTTTAATGGCATGAACAGTCCATGTTTTGACAAAAAAGCACTTGTCGTAATCAAGAGCATGCCTGAACCGGTAGATGAAATATCCGGCAGAACACCTGCTTATTTCAACTTCCGCATTTGGTCTTGCTTGTTCCGCGTTACATTGTCTGTTTATTTGTGCATCTTCCTTTCTTATTTCTCCAATAGCTATATCATTTGGGTGGGGGTCAGTTAACCATAGAGCAGGTCCCCCAGTGCAAAAAGGTGCAGAAATATTTATCAATGATGTCATCTCATATTTAGCGCCATCCGTATCACATAATGCATACCTAAAATGTAATAGATTTGGGTTAGTTGTCGGAAGAATTGTGTGCCATTACCATCAGATGTTTTATCGTATCCATGCACCATGTAATAGAATATATTTAACGCGAATGTTGGACATGGTTCATATAGGAGCACCCCGAGGATACTAGTGGTCCACAAGGGGAATTTGGTGATAATAGTATTTCAAATTATGATCACCTTAACTTTATTGAAACATGTCAGTCTCTGGGGTTTCGGGCCCGATTCCAGGCCTTGCCATCTTACTTGTCCAAGGATAGTTTTTAATTCATTCCCTTGAAACAAGGACTTTTCTCCGAGTCACTTCTAAATTGCCGCAATGTAAAATACTGATTTACCAGTAATTGTTTTTATCGATCCCAATAATGTTCATTATCATTATTGCTGTTGTGTCTGGGTTTGATACATTTTAAAGGTTTTTGTTTTCATTTAATTTGAAGCATGACTGGACCTACCATATGTTTTTGTAGAAACTGCTGCACGCAAATGAAATTGTAGAATATTCGAGTAACTTGTTCTCAATGGTCAATATTTTGTTATGATCGGGGCAGTCGCTACCGCTCTCTATAACTATGTTGAAGAAAAAAGAAGAACAATAATAATAATGATAATAATAATAATGATAATAATATTTATTTCTATATATGTCACATTAGTGGTTTGCAGTAGGGAACTGCATTAAGAAATACACAAGTAAAATCAAAAACGATATGTAAAAAAAGTGAACATATATATATATATATATGAATAAATAAATAAAAGAAAATAAATAAATAAATATTAGGTAAATAAACAAAAAGTAAAAATAAAAGTATATGTAAATATATACATTATAACCTAAAAAATAGCTTCTTATTAAAAAAAGAACATTTTAGTGCTCTTTTAAATTTTCTTAAAGACGAAAGTAATTTAATGTCATTAGGTAAAGAGTTCCAACTTTGAACGCAGGAATTCTGAGATGTTTGTAGGCCCCAGTTAGTGTTGGATTTAACTGTTCTCAATAGATCTTTGTTACGTGTTGTACTCATGGAAGTCTTTGCCTTTGGGGAAGTTTAACGCATCTTCATATACTTGGTTGTACATGTATATACAGCGTTGAAATTTTCTTCGCTGAGATAAGTCCAGCCACTTTAGTTCTTTAAGTGTCTCAGAAGAAGAAGACCAAGGTGGTCTGTTGAGTATTAATTTAGCTGCTTTATTGTGGAGTACCTGGAGCGTATTCATTAGGGTCTTATTATTCTTATGACCCCAAACAATTGATGCATAGTCGAGCAGGGGAACTATCATTGTCATGACATAAAGCTTCCTAGCATAGATAGGTAACAAGTGTCTAATCCGTTTTAATACCCCAAGGCGCTGTGCAACCTTGGAGTGTAGCATCTCAACGTGATCATGCCATGTGAGATGTTGGTTAATGATTATACCAAGATATTTAAATTCTGTAACGTTTTCGAGACTATCTTGATCCACCACCAGCTGCATATCCTGAAAATGCTTCACCTTAACCCGGCTGCCAAGGATCATGAATTTTGATTTTTTGATATGCACAGTAAGCGTATGCTCATGTAGCCAGGAAGATATAGTCTGAAGGTCATAGTTAAGCTTACGTGGTTGTAAATCAGCGGCAGAGGTCTCAGGACAGTAAAATATGCCATATTGTCAGCAAACATCGCGCGTCATCTTGGAAAACTTCGGAGGGTAGATTCGATCCCATTGATATAAATCAGGAAGAATAATGGTCCAAGTATACTCCCCTGTGGTACGCCAATGGACACCTTGGCTTCGGGAGAGATGGTATTACCACACACAGTTTTCTGGGTTCGTCCATTGAGGTAAGAATAGAACCATGACAATCTTTTTCCAGCAACACCCAAGTTCTTTAGTTTCTTTATAAGGAGCTCGTGGTTGACGGTGTCGAACGCCTTTTTAAGGTCCAGGAAGACTGCACCRGTAACTTTGCCACTGTCCATATTGTTTAGGATGTAGTCTGTAAAGTTAATCAGAGCTGTAGTTGTTGATTTGCCCAGTCGAAATCCAAACTGACACGTGGATAGTTTCATTAAGTACATGCACAGGATATTGTACCCAACTTCATTAGTGCCGGAAAGAAACAGCTATAATCTGGGAAATAACTTTTTTCCATTAAATGCATCTCATCGATTGGTTTACAATAAATGTCTAGTCGCGAGGGAAATAGTTAGTTTGTTTTCCCTCGAGTCCCGAGGGACCAGGCATTTTAAAAGTGTTTCGTTGTATAGCAATTGGAAAATATTGAGAAGTAAGTTTACGAAATAAGAACTTCATTTATCGAGCTAAATGCATGAAAACTGACCATGATTTTACGAATACAACTCACATACACAACTCACACAGGGGCGGCGGAAGCGGGGGGGCCGGGGAGGCACTGGTCCCCCCACTAGATTTTTTTGGGGGGGCCTGGCCCCCCCAGAATATAATGCCTCACACA